AGGGCTTAGTCCTGGAGACCCCAACAACAAGACCAGACTGCCTCCAGATTCCATGGGGGGGAAGGGGGATAACACTAACCCACCATCAGCGATGGATGAGAGAAGAACATATCCGCACCATGGCTTTGCTTTTTATTTCTTCCTTTCCCCGGATTCTTTGTCTGTATTTCTCTCTAGAATGTAAACTCTGTGGTCAAGGTTCATCCTATGGTACCACAAACTCCAGGAGCTCACAAACAAATGTGCATGCCCATTCTTATCTCGGACACAGACCAATTCTGACTTTTTACAATTAAACAGAGTTATTCCCCTTACTCAGGATAACTGCTTCATAGGTGTTCAGGGTAGCTCAATGGCTCTGCGATGACACATTGGTGCAGACATTCTTTGTCTATCATGGCGCCCCACCCCACACCATGTGGGGAGCAAAGTGTCTTTGCCTCAGCCAGCCTCCTCTCCCTGGTGTTATAAATGGCCACTTTGGCCATGGCTAGGAGGAGGTTGACGAGGTGGTCCTGCGACTTCATAGGGCCACAGATGGAGTGTGCATAAACAAACAGGTGCGGGGAAAAATGTAGCCAGAACCTCAACAAGAGGTTCCAGAGGAGCCGCAAGGGGCTGCAACATGGCGCACTGCAGATAGACATGCGACAGGGTCTCCCTCACACCGCAAAAAGGGCAGGTGTCGGAAAGAGGGTTGAACCATGCCAGGTACACACCCGTGTTCACGGCTCCATGAAGGAGCCACCAATTAATGTTCCTGGCGGGCTGTGGAACCAGGATGGAGTACAGGCTGGACCACCGCGGTCCCTCACCCTCTGCAGCTGGTAGAAGGTCCCGCCACTTGGTGTCGGGGTGGGACACGAGGGTGGGGAAATGAAGAGTGTGGAGCACGACCGTGTAGAGATGGTCCTGTGGCGCGGTTCAGAAGTGAACCGGATGCAAATCGCGCAGCCAGCTTGGGGTATAAAGGCATGGGGGACGAGAGAGCTCACGGGGTAGGGGCCCGATGAAGAGATCCAGAGGGCCTGGGGTGAGGGGTGGGCGGGCGATACCCTCTCGCAGGACCCGCTCGAGGAAAAACCAACAAATGGGCAATAAGGCTGCCTCCACCTCCCGAAGTACGTGCCGGGGGGTACCAAAGGCGGAGAGCCCCAAGAGCCAGCCAAGCGCATAGGGATCCACCCAGTCCCCCCGGTTGCAGTCCAGGAGGTCTCCGATCTTGGTAAGTTCCAACAGGACCAACCTCTGGCACACCGAGGGCGACTTCGCCACCTGCACATGAAGATGAAGATGGTGTAGCAGGGGCTCTGCAAGGAGATCTGCCCCCTCGGTGGCCGCCACGGACCTGGTCGGAGGAGGGAAGTCCTGGTAGAAGACTGGCAGCTCGGAGAGGTCTTGCGGAAGACCTCTCGGATGGAGATAAAAGAGCTGCTGGTCATATCGGAGCCCTCAGAGGAAGCGGAAGAAGGTGTGCACCAGAGTGCTCCACGCCAAGCTACCTGCACCACAAAGGAGTCTCTGCATGGCCTGGAGGCGGAAGACATGGACCTGAGTGCACAGGCACACCAGGCCCTGTCCTCCCTCCTCCAGGGGAAGATGCAGAAACCACGCAGAGATCCAGTGCAGTCCTGGCCAAACGAACTCCAGAACCAGCTTCTGGAGCCAAGCCAGGAACCCCGGGGCTGGGCACAGGGTGTTGAGCCAGTGCCAGAGCATGGACAGGACTAGCTGATTGAGCACCAATGCCCTCCCCCGAAGGCAGAGGCACCGGAGCAGTCCTGCCCACCTCTGCAACTGCTCAACCACCCTGCCCTCCAAATTGTGCCAGTTCTCCAGCAGAGAAGGATGCGTGGCAGAAAGATAAAAGCCGAGATAGAGCAATGGACCCGTGCCCCACTGAATGGCCTGAAGCGCGGGTGGGAGGGCGCTCCGACCATCAGGCCAGAGCTCTTGACCCAGTTGACCTGGGCGGAGGTGGACACCGAGTACACAGCTTGGCAGGGCTCCACCCACACCAGGTTGCCCAGGTCCTGGACCACTGCAGCAGAGTGGTCTTATTGGGTGCTGGGAGGTATATAAGCCCTAGGATGACCAAGGCCTTATTCCTTGTGGACTAGGGAAAGGTTACTTCAGGGTAATTGGAGCACCCAGAGCCAATTAAGGCCCCACCCAAGACCTAATTAAAAAACCCTGCTTCAGTCAGACAGAGAGATGGAAGGAGAGCTGACTAGAGTTTGGAGGAGTATTGCTTTTAGCCAGAGGACCAGGGGAAGGGAAACCCTGCCCAAGCAGAGCAAAGGACTTAGTCCTTTTTGCCGGTGGGGTCCCTGAGGGAAACCCTACCCAAGGGGAGAGAGGGTAAGCAGCCCGCAAAGCTGAAGGGGCTGGGACCCGGAGTAGGAGAGCAGATCTGGGTCCCTTCCCTGCTCCTCTCTCTCTCCCCCACTGGGGCACTAGCGGAGCCCACAACACCCAAGAATAGGGGTAAGGGGCAGCACCCTTACCCACCACACCAAGAAAAAGTGCAGGACCCACCACAATAGTGTCAGCCATTTGCCACAGTCCCCAGAAGATAAACAAACTAAAACTATTTCTACTTAAAAATTCATCATCCAACCAACACATGCAAAAAAATCAAGTAAAAGTCTCTCCATACACACTATCCCATAAATTCATGGATTTTTAAGGCTAGAAAGAACCACTATGTCAACCAAACCTGACTTCCCGCATAACACAGGCCAGAGAATTTCACCCTGTGATTCCTGAATATTAACAGGTTGAACCATAGCACATCTTTTAGAACGCCATCTAATCTTGATATAAAGATTCCAAGTTAACACTCACCAATTTAATATTTTAAATAACTAGTCAATAACCATTTCTAAACACTTCACATGGCTAGAGTTAAACACTACACATTTTGCGTGGAAGGAAAAGTCACCTGTGGTGTGGATGAGAATGTAGAAAAGGCAAACTTATAGTTATAGGTCGCAACAGGTATATGAGAACTTAAATAGCAATTTCCAGTCTTTCTTCCGGCTGGTTGCTGGTATATACACTTAAGCAACCTTAAGTGATTTTTAACACAATCTTTGTTTGACAAAATATAAATTAATAAACCGATTCTCTAAACACAGGGCACTTCAGAAAGGGAGATTCACCTCAGCTCCATCTGTAACCTACTGCTTTATAACAGTCCTTAATTCACTCCAGCAGAGCCCTTCCCAAACTCAAAAATAAGTCTTTAAGTGCTCCAAGCAGGGTTAGACAACACACTGTTAAAAATGCTGCTGCCCTGTTTCCACCAATGCTTTGACTGATGATTGCACAAATGAAGCATAGGAATGGCCATTAGGAAAATTAGTAGCACAGACAAGGCCTACGTGTCTCTAATACCATTTCTGAGAGTTTGGTTTCCAACTGGGAAGTCTATTGTTGGTGGATACTTTCTTATAAGCCATAGCACACATTAACAATCTGCAAAACACATTTTCCCATAAGCAGAAAATGGAAACTTATTTTCTTATTAAAGTCAATCTGAACCCAGTTCTCAGCATCCACCCACTGAAAAGCAATGTTTCAAGCTGGGTATCCAAAAGTTAAGGCATCCAAAATCAACAGTTATTTTGAAAGTCTTGGTCAGGTTTTTTATTTTACCCCCTACTTAAGGTACCACAACAGAGTACAACTAGCATTGACATATTCTGTGGATCCAGTCTAACACACTATTGTATTCTAGGAAATGTATTTGAGACTTTGCTAAGGACCAATCATTCACAGTAAGTAGGTAGTAGACTCAGAAAGTGGGTTATCACATAAGTGGCAGACTCAGAGAAAATGTGTTATATTCACTGTATTTAAATTTAGCATGCCCTTGGCTCCTTTAAAGGGAACTGTAAATTAAGTTTCAAAACTCAGTCTGCTAATACACCCACACTATCCATCTTGGCCTTTCTGAAGAGGCAGGAAGCATTCGGCACACTGCCAGTTATGTACTAATTTTATTTGCAAATCACTTTATAAAAAGATTGTGAAACAAACTTTCAAAATGGTCAGTTTTTAAAAAAAAGTGTTTACTTTTTTTTGTTTTTCATATATCATTTCCTTGACCCATTTGCTAATTATTCTAGAGACTTACATTGAAAACAGGAGCTTTGCTAAGGTCTAGAAAAAGCATAATACCCTAAAAATGAATACCATTTCAAAAATTCAGAAACAGATTGTCATATCATAGCTCCAAGATTATGACTTCACTGCAGATTAAGCAGAAGGACATGGACCAAAAGAGAAAACTGAAGTAACAGAAAATGTAACACACACGACTAATTAAATAACTGTTTTATATATTATTTATTATATCACAGAGCTTATACAGTATAAATCCAGGTATAACAGAATAGACCCTCTCCCGAAACCTCATTTGAGAAGTTGGAAAAAAAAGAAACAAAAGCAAGTTGCCTTTATTTTGTATCACTAATTTTTTTTTTTTAAATCCTCTCTATGAAGGAAATTTACCCAAGAAAAAAATCTTAATGGTTACAGACCTAAGAGATCAGTAAAACAAAATTAGACAGCACCTCTATCTCCACAACTGATAATTTATGGTTAAAAAAAACACATTATGCAATGACTCTGTCCAAGAATTAAATCAAAGGCAGCAATGTTGTTTCCTATTAACCTGTTTAATCTACCGGACTGAGGCACATTTACAGTTTACTGTAAATAATATAATGCTGAATAGAAACAGAAATCTGCAGGTATTAACATTTCAAATGTCATGCTCTGACTCACTGTCTTCCAGCTCAAAGCTAAAGCATGTCAATAACAACCACTGTATCACTAACACACCTCACTGTTAATAAGATCACATTGTAAACGAGTAAGATACGGGGTGAGCAGGTTGATCATCCTACACAAAACAATTTAAATTTATGAATGATTTACTCCTGAGGTAGTGGGTTTGATGCAAATGAGCATAAAGGAAGTTGTCAGCAGCATTATGCTCTGGCCAATAGTAGCAAAGCTCCATTTTAGCTGTGCCATAGCCTGCACTAAAAAAAATAGAGCAGACCAGCGCTCTTTCAGCATCTTTTCAGACAAGAGGTAGGTCTGTACCATTTTTTAAAATTGTCTTACATTTATATTGATTATTGAAAGAAAATATATCTTTAGCTTAGAAAAGAAGTCTATATAAAGCCTTTCTCCTATAAAAGCCAGCATGAATTTTCTTTGTGTTAAGCAGGATTTTACTCTGCTACAATCCTTAATCTGCTACTATCAGACAAGCACTATTACCATCTGTACATTAATGGAAAATTGATGACCACTCCATCTTATAAGAAACCCAACACACCCAAGCCAATGCGCAGTAAACAAAATGTATTTGATGTTTACTAGCTAGTAGCTCATTTCTTGCAGCCTCACGTTCCATTTAGTTGATTCTGACTGTTTTAAAATAGATGCTAATACAAATCTTTTTATTAAAAAAAACCAAACTAATTCTGTAACAAAGAAAAAACAAAATTGTTAGAGGGTGTATTTTTCAAATATAAACAATAAAGCAATCACTAAATTGCTTAAGAATGAAATTGTATGCTGCTAGGCTAAAAATGTGTTCTAAAGAATTGGTTTGTTAGACTAGCACGAAAATCAACCTTATCACTTAACATATTCCTGGAGTAAATATAAGAGTGTTAATCCATCTGCATGATGCAGACAGACAGGTTAGAATCCACGAGAGATTTCTAGATACCATTATCCCAAAATGTTTGTCAGTTGTTTCTTATTTGAGACTTCCTCAGCACTGCATTAAAATGAGTCATTTTGCCACTGCTCCTCTGAATACAATTCTGAGTAAACTTACATTATCACAGCATCCAAAGAATGATTTTTAAATTAAAACGTATTATAGAACTACATTAAATATTTAACCACTACTAGATTTTGTTCACGCACAATACCTGTAATGCATACTAATCAGACTAGCTCAGTGCAAATTTTAAATATTCCTACTGCAATTAGAATTAAAATGCAACTGTGTCGAACCCGAGTTTCTCCGATAGTTTTCAAAGATGTGCCTTTTCTTACTTTATCAGTGCTGCAGTTAATTTTGATGGATTAGCAATGAAATCTTTAGTCTTGTATTTCACAATTACAACAGTTTTGGTAGGTGACTCAACAGCTGTCTTGGCTTTAGTCAAGTCTGGGGGATTACAGTCACTAGTAGAGAGCCAACACTTCTAGAATATTATCAAAATCAGCCTACAGCTAGTAACTGGACCCCTGCCCCAACTTGGTTTATAAAATAGAATTATCTGAAATTCTCTCTTCAATGGAGGAAGTTAATTTTCCTAGCCACCATTTAACACAGGGGTGGGCAAACTAAGGCCCAGGGGCTGCATATGGCCCTTCAGACATTTTAATCCGGCCCTCGAATTCCTGACAGGGAGCGGGATTGGAGGCTTGCTCTGCACAGCTCCCGGAAGCAGCAGCACATCCCCTCTCCAGCTCCTACATGTATGGGCAGCCAGGGGGCTCTGCATGCTGCCTCCGCCCCAAGCGCCGCCCCTGCAGTCCCCATTGGCCAGCAAATGGGGCCAATGGGAGCTTCAGGGGCAGCACCTGCAGATGGGGAAGCTCACAGAGCTGCCTGGCCATGCCTCCGCATAGGAGCCAGATGGGGGACATGCCATTGCTTCCGGGAGCTGCTTGAGGTAAGCGCCACCCAGACCACCTCCCGCGCCCCAATCCTGATCCCCCTCCCACCCTCCAAACCCCTCGGTCCCACCCTCCTGCACCCCAGAGCCCGCACCCCCAGCCAGAGCCCTCACCCCCCTGCACTGGTACTCCTGCCCCAGCCCTCTCCTGAACTCCTCATTTCTGGCCCCACCCCAGAGCCCGCACCGCCAGCCAGATCCCTTCCCAACCCCCAATTTCGTGAGCATTCATGGCCGGCCATACAATTTCCATACCCAGATGTGGCTCTCAGGCCAAAAAGTTTGCCCACCCCTGATTTAAGAAGTGCTAAGCACTATCTTCAAAACATCAATTGGCATATCATATAACTAAATCACTAGCTACCAGATATCAAAGGGGTTAAAAATATTGTCTTACAACTCACATTATTAGAGTTTAAAAATTAATTATAGCTAAGACACTACCCAAATCATGGGATGATCTTCAGATAATAGCAGCTGAGTTGTGGACAAGACATGGAGAATTGTGGAAAAATAATAATGACCTTTATTAATTGCAGTAATTTGGAAAAGCCACAGCAGACCTATTTGTTTAAGAAAAATTTTCTGGAACAATATAAACACTCAACTATTATGCTATGCCAGATAGCTAGCTAGCTAGCTAGATACACACACACATAAAAATCACAGGCACAGCATAATAGTTGAGCACTTATATTGTTCCAGCAAATTTTTCTTAAACAAACAAGTCTGTTGTGGCTTTTCCAAATCACTGCAATTATTATTTTTCCACAATTCTCCATTTCTTGTCCACAACTCAGCTTCTATTTTTTTTTATATATATATATATATATATATATAAATATATTTTATAACCAGACAATTTGGTGCAACTACAAGGCCGTAACCAGGGTAGGGAGGGTGGGGCAGCTGCCCATGGCACAAAGCTGGGGAGGTTAGGCCTGGAAAAATGGGGAGGTTAGGCAGAAAAATGAGTAAAAAAGCATCGAGGGTACAGCCTGGCAGCAAGCATGGTACTGCCAGCCTCACTTCTGTGCTGTTGCTGGTGGCGGTGCTGCCGTTAGAGCTGGGACCCGGTCAGCAGCCATTGCTCTCGGGCCGCCCAGCTCTGAAGGCCGTGCCACCGCCAGCAGCAGTGCAGAAGTAAGGGTAGCAGTACCATGCCCCTTACCTCCTACCAGCTCTACCCCCTACCGTTTCCCTCCCTCCAATTTTTCTGCCCCTCTTCCCCCACAGCTTTGCACCCTGGGCGGCTGCCTCACTTACACCCCCACCCCCCCGCCAGTTACAGCTCTGAACTCTTCAAGATCATTTAATATACTTATGGGGGAGGTGGGAGAGGGAGTGTGTGTTGCAAACCTCAAAATGTATGCAAAATTGTGCAAAGTAAGCTTATTTAAAACAAAATTGCGGTAGAAGCCTAATATTGTGGAATATGCAATATTGCGAAAGAAGTAGGACCTTAAATTATAGCTTATTTTAATCTCCCAGTTGACAGACTACATGCTGTTTCCTCCATTCTCTCAAACTAAAAATATGAAAGTTGTTAAAATAACAGAACCTTAAACCCCTGGGCACTGCTTACCCAAAAATGTACATACTGTGAGACTGAATCCCACACCCAGGTTTCCTTTACAGACTACAACAAAACAGACCTATTAAAGGATATTAGAGAATGAGTCTGTACCACTTCCATACTTCAGAGCAGAGGGGGGTTCTGTCCCTCAACTGTCAAGCCACTCATTTCCCTCCTCTTGTGCTCTACTTCTACTAAGGGCACCTTCTAGCTTGGGGGAGGACTAGGAGAAGAGACATTTGCCTCATCACAGAGGATACTATGCTTCCTGGAATGACTCCATAAGCAACAGAGTGAAACTGACAAGTAGTGCATTCATTTCACATTGATGTTTGGAAAGTACTAGGGACAGCTGAGTTACAGTGATACAGTCTTCCTGTGCAGGATTGTCCCATAGGAGAATTTCAACAATAAGTGAAAGAAAGAGCAAAGGAAGGAAAGGAGAGGAGAGGGGATAAAATGAGGAGAGGAAATGCAATATTTCCTCAATCCCAATTTAAATATAACGCCTCAATCAAAGTTCCAATACACTGGGCCTGATTCTGCAAGGCACACCCCCCTACTTCAGTGGGAGCTGGGGCACTGATCGAGATGCAGGATTGGCCTTTTGAGGATGCTATGAGAGGCATTCTGTGAATAGTGCTCTTCAGCCTCTGTGGATCCCAATCTGGCATCATTAGCTAAAATTACCACTGAAATTTATTGTCCACGCCACCCACCCTCCAAAAAAAGAAAATAAAAAAGGAAAGATGAAACAGCATTTTGAAGGCTTATTTTACCTAAGTTTTCTTTAAAATAATTTTCCAAAGAAATCTTCATCTAAATAATTATTTCAATTATAAAAAGGCAACAGCAAATTCCCACATTAAAACCTTTATTCATACTTGTATGTATTCCATTTCTTTATCCTTAGCTATGAGTTTAAAAAGGAATTCAATAAATTACCACAGTTCCCAAAACTAATTTTCTGTGGATGCACTCATCCTGACAGGCAAGCTCTGAGATAGGGCCTCATCAATGCCACAATTTCATTTTGGTTTTTATTCAGCCAAACAGAAGCACACAAACAACATGATGAACAGTATATAAGCAACAGCAATGAAATGTAATACAACTTAAGCTAAGTTAACTGCATCCTGGCTGTTTCCTGTTTTATGTTAAAAATGGCCCAATTTTATTATTGGTAAATTCATAGACAAACTGTTTAAAATAGGTAGCAATATGAAATTTGGGCTTTATCATTTTTCCTTTCAATTATCCATATATTTTGGTTTTCAACTTTGTAAACAAAACATTGATGCTTTCTTTACAATTAGTATTTTCTGGTCATGTTGCATTTTGATTAAGTTAAATAAAAGGTAACCAGATAGACTTCTTAATAGCCTACGCCTTTATTCATTGTTTTATCTACAACACAAAATTCACTTTATCTTAAGATTTTTGTAAGGAATTTCAACTTTTTAGTGAACAAAGTTGCCTCATGTCCAGTGTAATTATACACAGTATAAAACATACATTTTTTACAAACTGAGCATCTTTCATTAATTAGCTATATAGCTCTGATTTTAATTAATGTTACATCATACCCCTCCTGCATGAGTATAACATGCAAGAGACTTCTAGCCTTTCTTACCTAACCTTCAGTCTTCCTGTACCAAGTTCGTGGAGCAACATTTACATATTAATTTACATACAAAAATATAAACTAAGAAAACTTTAAGGCTGCAGTCATGCTCTCAAGAGTTATAAAATACCAGAATGAAGGTTGCCTGTGAGATTTTAATTTGGCGCCGTTGTGCGTATTAGTTTAAAGAGAATTAAAGCCACTTTAATTTTGAATGAGGGTGTTCGCTCGAGGGTTTAATGCAGTTTAACTAATCCACTTCAAATTCATACCTCTAGTTAATTCAGATTAATTTTCCTGGATGTCCCTGTGTAGACAAGCCCTTAACTATGGAGTCACTCCCGGTCCTCTATACTATGCAAAAACTACAATACTATATTAAGACTGATGTTTAAAAACTGTTCAGAAGCCAGGAAATTCAGAGTTAAAGGTAATAAATGCTCTTTTTAAAAAGGAAAAATGCACATTCTTCCCTACTCTAGAAGTGATTGATATAATTAACTTGTGCATGAGCAGAACTAGAACTTTTCAACTCACTTTTACAAATATTTGTTGGACTGTAAAGGTAGCATATCATGTTAATAACTGAAGTTTTTAAATAGTTTTTTTGGGTATTTAAAATACATATATTTCAATTCATCTTAAAGATATCTAAAGCAGCCCTTAGCCTGCTCCTCTGCATGTAGGACTTAATTCATAGTACTCTAACAAGTACATTTGTCTTTCATATTCTAAGGTGAGAGATGAGAGCAGAGTAAAAACTGTGCTTTAATCTCTCTCCTCCTCTCCCTGCCCCATCGCATCATCTCTCTCAACTGAGCCCGCTCCCATTCTACCCTCAGAGGTGCTGGAAGAGGTAGCCCCCCATTTTAAGAAAACACCAAGCCTCAAGGGGCTCCCTTTCCCATTTTAATTCAGTCGGCAGTCAGTCCTTCAATACAATGTTGCTCTAGGCTCAGTTCCAGAAGTTCACATATCCAAATCCTGCTGCCTCTCTAAACCAACGAAAGCAGTTAGACCAATGCCAAGCAATCGCAGGGCCAGGTTTTGCACCTGGGGGAAAGGACGTGATGGGTCATTGGTGATGGGGTGGAGAGTGAGCCCACCACGCACCCACCTGGTGGGAGCAGCTACAGTCCTGCAGTGCCAGGCCTAGCTCCACATTCCAGGCGTTGTAACCTAACACACAGGGTCACAGTGCCACTGAGCTCCTGGGTGCTGAACACTATGAGAATTTGGTCCTTAATGTGTTAGGAAGCTTGCAAGTTAACCGAAAGACGATAACAGCACTTACAGATGAGATAAGGAAATTGTATTATAAACCAGGAGAGCAGCTGAAAGTTCAACCTTGTTCATTCTCCAAGACAGTTACAATTTCTAAATGTACTGTAATTCCACTTAACCAAATTCAAATGATCCAGACAGCCTAGTTATCCAAAAGGAAACTGTGTCCCCCACGTAGCCCTGCTGGTTACATACCAACTGATTAACTAACATTAAGGCTGTGGGAACTGTGATGTAGAAGGATTTCCGAACAGTATGAGGAAAGGAGGGAGGGAAATGAAGGGAGGCAAAGAGGTGGGTGGAGGAGAGAAAAGGGGGAGGAAAGAAGACGGGAGAGGTGCTGCTTGAATGCTTCCCAGCGCCGACAGCCCTGGGCTCTGCAGGCACCAATACAAATACCAAGGGGAACGGCCAGCTGAGGGTGCTGGGAAGCACTAAAGCAGCACTAACAAGGCTCCTGTCTCCTGCAACTACTGCCCCTCTCCCTCTTTCTCTCTCTTCCACCCTCCTCTCTGCCTCCCTCCTTTCCTCATCCTACCCAGAAATCCTGCAGCTTAACATAGCACCTCCATTTATCCAAACGTGCAGTTACCCAAAGGAATCAGATGGCTCCCAGACCATTCTGATAAATGGAACTGTAAACAAAGGAAGAAGTAGAAGAATGCCAAATGTTAATCATTCCAGTCATTAGGATCCACACATCCAGTAACAGCACATGGGTCCCTTGTTTTGCTAGAAATGTCACATGTGCAGAGAGGGTTTTCAAACCATTAAAAAACTAAAACATTTAAGAGTAACAAATAGACCATGTTTCTAAAATCATCCCATGCAGATGGAAATAATCTCTGTAAGATTGCTTCTTTGCATTATCTTTGGAATAAGTGAGAGATGCTCCTTAACTTTACTGATACATGTTGCAATGTATTAGTTTTGCAATAAAATATATTTCAAAAAGTCATCACACAGTCAAGCTGTGCATTTTGAGCCAATATATTTTTGACTCAAAGCAAAATAAAGAGCCAGATTAATGCAGCTTCACTTCAAAGAGTATGTATATGTCCAAAGCTCCCCAGTTCAGAAACTATTCACTGCTTGCCACAGGAAATTAGCTGTCATTCTGAAAGTAAACTCTTCCAACTAGGGAAAATAATTCAAGTTCCAACTTAGTTGGTAAAAGAAAAAACTGACATTTTAGAAGTTAAAAACATCACCTTTGTTTCTCTGTTTGTTTTAACCTATAGATCTGCTGCAGTGAGCACAATAAGAGGACTCTCCAAGCATGGCAACCTTCAACACCAGTTACTGGAACGAGACTACGTCCCTTTACCAATACCTTGGTTTTCAAGTGCAAAAGATTTACCCTTTCCATGATAACTGGAACACTGCCTGCTTTATTATTCTGGTTATATTTATCTTTACTGTAGTTTCTCTGGTGGCGTTGGCTTTCCTTTACGAGTTGCTTGACTGTTGCTGCTGTGTGAAAAATAAAACCATGAAAGACCTAGCGAACGAATCCAACCCAGTTAGAACCATGATGGACAGCTTTAGAAAGAGAGAAACAGAAGTGGTGTAGTAATGATTGATCACTAGAACTCACAGAAGAACCAACAAACAAAATGAAGCCTCTTGCATCTTATGAGCAAGTCATGTGCTTTTTGGGCCTTAAAAATCATTGTTAGCAACAATTATTTCACTTCTGGATGTGAACTTGAATGGCTAGCAAAATCTTTATGTGGAAAGAAAGATTTTTGTTTTTAAATGAACTTTTGTCATCTATATTTGATTACTAGAGTAAATATTTGTTCATCTGAATAATTCACAATGTTGCTTAATTGGAGAAATACAGATCAATCTGATTGTCACCCTCACCCCTGCCATCTCATGTCTCCTCCTTGGTCTATAAGCTCTCCTTTTGGGGGAAGTCTGCACAAAATTTACCAAACAATGGCACTCTTCTTAAAAACATGTTTATTAAAAAGAAAAAAATGTCAGTAAAACAAAATGAATGGTTTTCATTACACATGGCATCTGAATATTTTGCAAAGCCCAGTGAGGTAGGCTTTCTTATTTAACGAAAAAAGAAAAATGTTCATCCCCAGCAAACAAATACCTCTCTGACCACTTCCTGGAAGCACCTGACAGCTTCTCCCTGCAGCTCAGAGAACTTCCACCCTATCCCTCACCCAAACGGTTTATCAATTCCTAGGTGTTAGAATTTGTTATCACATCAGAGTGAGGTCACCTCAATATTTCCACAAAGGAGTGTTTAATCAAGAGTACTGTCTGGAGGCAAATGAGTATCTTTTCACCCCCCATACAAGAACATATCACCTAAGAGCTTCCCTCCCACATCCTCCTGTCTCCAAGTCCATAATTTCACAGATCATTCCTGATCTCCACCTCCCTCCCACACTCCTCACCAGTCAAGGGGATTGCCTTTTGAGATACAGATCCACTGTTCTTGGCTACAGACGTGAGAACACACCTTCATGCTGGATGTATCAAGTTTCTATAGTAGGGCAAGCCTACATTACACAATTAAATTGACTTAAGTTACGTTGACATACAGCCACCACAGTAATTAAATCTCTTTTGCCTGTCCACACTACCTTCCTTGGGTCGGCAGTGTGCATCCTCACCAGGAGTGCTCACACCAATTTAACTATCGGTGTAGGGCACTGTGGGATGGCTTTTGAAAGGCAGGAACAGTCAATGTAAGCAACGCAGTGTCTACACTGATACTGCACTGACGTAACTACATTGACCTAAGCACTATGCCTCTCGCATAGGTGCAGTTATTAACTCAGTGTAGTGGGCGAGTTACATCGGTGGGAGCTTCATTTTAGTGTAGACGCTTACAGAGTTAGGTTGACCTAAGGCAGCTTACGTCGACTTAACTCTGTAGTATAGATCAGGCCCCAGCTGTCCAGAGTTAGCATGATTTTGACTATTTTAGACTCGCTTATCAATCTTTCCTTGCCATGAAATACATATTATTGACGGATCCAATGCCTGTCTTGGGTAAAAGTGATCATGAAATAATAGAGTTCATGATTCTAAGGAATGGTAGGAGAGAAAACAGCACAATAAAGATAATGGTTTTCAAGGAGGCAGACTTTAGCAAACTCAGGGAATTGGTAAGATCCCATGGGAGGTAAGTTTAACGGGAAACACAGTTCAAGAGAGTTGTCAGTATTTCAGGGACATTATTAAGGCCACAAGAGCAAACTATCCCACTGCGTAGGAAAGATGGAAAGCATGGCAAGAAACCACGCTGACTTAACCTGGAGGTCTTCAATGATCTGAAACTCAAAAAAGAGCCCTACAAAACGTGGAAACTCAGTCAAATTACAGAGGACGAATATAAACAATAAAACACAAGTATTTAGGGACAAAATTAGAAAGACCAAGGCACAAAATGAGATTAAATGAGCTAGAGACATAAAAAGTAACAAGAAAACACTATACAAATACATTAGAAGCAAAAGGAAGACGAAGCACAGGGTAGCCCGTAACTCCATGAAGGGGGGATGTAGTGAGGTGGAGCAGCCTCTCTCCAAACTAGAGAGCCAGGGACCACTACACTCCCCCTGGTGGGCAGACCTAAAACCTCCCCACCCCTGGCATCGGAAGTCCCAGGGCAGGGCAGGAAATATAAAAGCAGAGCCCTGGAGCTCAGTTGGGGTTGGACCATGGGAAGAAGCAGACATCTCTTCCCGGGCATAGACATCTCTGCAGGATCCCGGACTAGCCCTCAAGTGGAGCCACGTCCTGCAGTTGGAGGAGATGGATGAGTATCCCAAGGAACTGTCAGATGAATGCCCCGAGGAGCTGTGGGGACTGCCAGCGGCCAAGAAGACATAAGAACGGCCATACTGGGTAAGACCAAAGATCCATCTAGCCCAGTAGCCTGTCTTCCAACAGTGGCCAATGCCAGGTGCCCCAGAAGAAATGAACAGAACAAGTAATCCATCCCCTGTCGCCCATTCCCAGCTTCTGGCAAACAGAGGCCAGGGACACCATCCCTGCCCATCCTGGCTATAGCCATTGATGGACTTATCCTCCATGAATTTATCTAGTTCTTTTTTGAACGATGTTATAGCCTTGGCCTCATCCTCTGGCAAGGAGTTCCACAGGTTGACCGTGCATTTTGTGAAAAAATACTTTCTTTTGTTTGTTTTAAACCTGCTGCCTATTAATTTCATTTGGTGGCCCCTAGTTCTCGTGTTATGAGGAGGATTAAATAATACTTCCTTATTTACTTTCTCCACACTATCATATCCCCCCCTCAGTCATCTCCTTTCCAAGATGAAAAGCCCCAGTCTTATTAATCTCTCCTCATACGGCAGCTGTTCCATACCCTTAATAATTTTTGTTGCCCTTTTCTGAACCGTTTCCAAGTCCAATATATCTTTTTTGAGATGGGACGACCACATCAGCACGCAGTATTCAAGACGCAGGCATACCATGGATTTATATAGAGGCAATATGAAATTTTCTGTCTTATTATCTATCCCTTTCTTAATGATTCCCAACATTTGGTTCACTTTTTGACTGCTACTGCAGACAAGAGGCAGAGGACACAGGACCTTTGGACTATGGAGCCCTACGCCCAAACTGTGGTAGGAAGTAGTCCAGGGGAACCAGACTTTAGTCCGGTTCTACTGCTTGAGAGTGAGTCAGCATGTTTCGGGAGGATTGCCACTATAAGGGCCCTGGGCTGGGACCAGGTGGAGTAGGGTGGGACTGGGTTTTCCTACCACTGACCCCACCCCAGAGGTGGCAGCCAAACCCCCTCTTTTTGGCCAGAAGGCGTGGGCTTTGTTGTGGGCTCACCCCAGCCAGAAGGCTGTGGAGCCACAGACTGCTCTGCCGTGCCCAGAGCTCCCTTACAGACTGTTAATTCCTGTTTGCCCCAGCCAGACAGCTGCAGGCTAAAGACTGTTTGTGGCTCTGCCCCACCCAGAGGACCAGAGCTCTGCCCCCCTAGACTGTTTTGTTGCTGTCTGTCCCAGCCAGATGGCTGCAGGCTAAAGACTGTTTGTGGCTAGGCCAGGGGTGAAAGTAAAATTTCTCTCTTACCGGTATTGGGGGGGGCAGTTGCCCCCCCCCCACTCCACCCCCTGGAAGGGTCAGGGCCTTGGGCAGAAGGGGTGGGGCTGGGTGTCAGTGTCCCTCAGCCAGGCCGCCTGGGGCTCCAGCGGCGATTAAAAGGGGCAGGGACTTTAAAACGCTGCCGTGGCATTGCTTTATGCACAGTCCTTTTGCCGCAGCAGCGCTTTAAAGGACCCTGCTTAAAGCGGTAACGTCACTGCCCCTTTTGCACCCTCCCTGTCGGTGGCCCTGCCAGTAGGGACTTGGCAGGGCCACCAAAGGGGGGCGCAAAAAGAGCAGTGACAGCTCTATGGCAGCACTTTAACGTCAGTAGTATGGGCCGGTACAGGCAGCCACTTTTTACTGGTAAGTCGTACCAGCCCGTACCGCCTTACTTTCACCCCTTGGTTCGGCCCTACCCAGAGAGCAGAGTTTCCCCTATAGACTGTGACTTGCTGTCTGCCTGTGGTGAGAAAACTTTGCTTTGAATTTAACATAGTTTGTTAAGTTAGGCACCAGTTGCATTTTAACTTTATTTTCTTGTAACCATTTCTGACTTTTATGCCTCATTACTTGTACTGAGTAAAAATCTCTCTCTTTGTAATTAATAAACTTGTTTTATTGTTTTACCTAATCCAGTGTGTTTAAATTGAAGTGTTTGGGACACTCCATTTGGCATGGCAAGTTGTGCAGACATTATTTCTATTATAACGGACTTGATATCAACTTGTACTGTCCAGGAGAGGGCTGGGCAGTACAGGACATACACTTCTGGGGGAAAATCTAAGTCTGGGAGTGCGTTGGGGTCACCCTGCAGTATAACCCAGGCTGGTAAGAGACAAAGTGTGACACAGCTGAGAGTAATTTATATGCTGCAGGCTGTAAGATGTCCTGGTTGGAGGCTACAGCAGCAAGGCTTTGTAAAGGACATCCTAGGCTAGAGGACAAGGGTGACGCAGCTACTCATCTGTCTGGATTCTACCCTGGTATGACACAGAAGGATGTTGCAGTAATCAAGATGATAGATGGTGAGAGCCTGGACAAGAATTTTAGCTGTGTGGATGGACAGAAAAGGACATATCTTAGAGATGTTACGCAGAAAGAACTGGCAAGATTTAGATATACCCTGAACATAAGAGCCTAGAAAAAGTCCAAGTCAAAGATGATCCCCACGTTACAGGCCTGAGTGACAGACAGGATGGTGGTGTTGTCCCCAGTGATTTAGAAAGAAGGTAGTGAGGAGGACTTGGGCAGGGTGGGGCGGCGGTAATTAAGAGCTCTGTTTTAGTCACATTGAGCTTGAGCTGACAAAAAGACATGAAAAACAACTGTTCACTCAGAACTAGCATCAGACCAAATTCATTCCTTTTAGGACACACAGTAGCAGTACTGAACGCTTCTGATATTGGCTCGGTCTGAAAGTGACATAAAAGAGGAAATACATATCCAATGAATTGCTTTGACGTAAATATCCAAAACACTGCTAAACAGTTAGGGTTCTTACACACATAAAATACATGACTCAAATCCACAGAAGCAAGGAAATGAAAAATTATGCCCCCCAACAGTACACAACCTCTATTCCCCCCACCCACAGGCATATACTTTACTGTTAACAAAACCACCCTACACTACAGACCACAACTTTAAACTTTTTGCCGTTCTGCACACACACCCCTTTCCCAGATTATACTTATCCAACATTAGTACTTGTGGATGTTTGGTATAGTAGTTGGTTATGCTGAGAGAGGGCAGGCTGGTAAAGGGGATGATG